ATTATAGTATTTGGGCCCTGCAACCCTATTATTTGGGTCCTTGGACCCTTAGGGAACAGCTGACACTCAGCAACCAGCGTCGAAGATCGAAGCCTGCACAGGCTGAAAAGTTTTTCAGCACAGAGAACCGTGTGTGGGCAGCTGAGAGTTCAGGGTTTAGGGAGTGTACCTACTCTACTGCCCAAATAAGGACGCCCAAATAAGGACATGAGAAGAAGGGGTCCATGCAATAGCCGCAACCGAAACGGAAAAAAACAGACGAAACCTAAAGGTTACACAACAGCTGGGGGCCTCAAAGAGTCAAACTGACAAACGACTAAACCAAACCCGACCATACACCCTTGCCCCGAAACTGCCCTAAACCCTAAACCCTGGCATCCAGCCTTAAAAGGGAATCGTCCAAAGAGAAGCTTGTACAGCACAACTCCCGCAGCAAACCTGCGCGCTGGGGTTTAGGGTTTCGGTCATCATGGTCTTTATTTGCCGCTGTGAACACGAAATGGCTACTTGTGATCCACGCCCGAAGCCTAGCTAACCCCGAAGCCGCAAACCCAGGCCATTGAGACATTTCCAACTCTAGCGGTCTAGGTGACATAGCCACCCATTTTCTTCGTGCTGCTTGCAGGGTGCCCAGAAAGGGACCGTCTATCTCTGAAAACCCTCAATTGTACGTAGTACCAACACTGATAAGCTAATAAGGTTCGTAATAGAAATAGCAACCGTAGAGGGGGCCGTTCGAAAAAGTGCTCGGCAGCGGGAGGGGAATGGGTTGTAGGCACCCTGCTAAAGTCTAGGTTAGGTACTGCCCCCACCAAGGGCTATATATGACCATACTATAATTATTATCCAACTGTTACTGAGGGGGGCAGTACCTAAAGTTTAGGACTTGATCTCGGCATCCTTTCCCCCATTTCCACTCAAAACCCTAAATCCTTAAACCCTAAACCCTAAACCCTATATATCCTAAACCCTAAACCCTAAGCCCTAAATCCTAAGTCCTAAACCCTAAGCCCTGAATCCTAAACCCTAATCACCAAGTAGAACGACAAATGAGAAGTCATCAAGGCCGGTACAGGTCGCTGGCAGGGGACGCTTGGCCGGAATACCTCAGAATTCCGGCTTGTTACATACCAGCAGTATAGGATACTATAGTGGTTTCCATTTTCTTTTCCATTCCTACTCTGTAAGCCCTGGCCCTAAAAATATGAGTTTCCATCTTCTTTCCATTATTTCTCGATAGCCCAAAATACTATAGCATTCTTGAGCTTATAGGGATTGAAGGAATGGAAAAGAAGATGGAAGATACCACTTCATGCGTTGGTCTTGCTAGCGTTGCCAAAGCCAGTGTTGTGATTCTTGCCTTTCTGGCAAGAATCAAAAGAGTGGGGTGGCGTCGGATCGGGATGAACGGGCGGGTCCAATCCTTAAAATCCTCCAAGCAGGCAGCAAACAGGCACTACACACAGCATCTCTTCTGACACCACTGAAACGATGCAAATTACAGTCATCATCGCAGTCTTGCTTTTACGGCAAGTGTTGCTGCAAGAGATGCTCTAACCATATGAGGGGTCATGTGGGAGTGTCTTAAGTCTTAACATTATCAAGTTCCCCCTCCGCAACACCACAAATAGGAACCTGCCCCTATGGTTCTAGGATCCAGTAGAGCCCCCCAGTTCAAGAAACCTCCGTATTGCAAGATAGGCGGCGCTTCCGGTGCAATGTACTGGTCCGTTCCTGCTACCCACCTGCAGAATCTGCAATGAATTAACACGGGGAGCAAGGATATATGGAGATCACATAAGGATTATGCATGGGTCCTCAATCTGTATGAAAGATCCACGTGGATCATTTTGAAAAAACTCCATTTGAAAGCGAAACAACATGGCAGAACGCGTCGCAGCCACATCAAGTCTGGCGCGGTCGTTCAACGACCACAGCAAGGCAAATAGTAGAAATTAGGAGGTGAGACCGGTAGCTGTAACGAAAAGTATATGGTAATTTCCCAAAATAG